GTTTACACAAATTTTTATACGCACTTTGCCAACCACCATGTAGTGATCATTGCCTATCTCAGCACCCCTCTTCACACGGACGTCTAGCAGCGATGATTTCCATCGAGCATTAATTAGGAAGTGGTCTATTTGATTCTTTGTTCTCCCGCCTGGAGAAACCCAAGTTGCTTTGTGCGATGTTTTGTGTGGGAAAAGGGAGTCGCCAATTTCCAGATTAGCCTTGCAGCACATTTCGATAAGTCTATTTCCATTGTAGTTTCGGGTACCCAGACCATGACACTTTATGTATTTAATAAATAGGTGTTTTCGCAGCCAATCTGTGCGTTAAAATCTCCTAACACTAAGAGAATATCTCCGTTTGAAGAATACATATTTATACACCTTTCAAGTTATTTATAGAAATCGTTTTTGTATTCATCGACTTGAAGTTCTGTGGGAGCATAGCAGTTAACAATAGTCAAGTTACGCGCACGCGTTTTGAGGACCATTATCCTTGAGCAGACTGGATGCCATTCTAATATCCCATTAACAATCTTTGATGATATAAGAAATCCTACTCCATTAACATGAGCAGATCCTTCTGGTTCGCCTGAATAAATAAACAAATTATCTTTATGTTGGATTAAGCCATTACCATTCCACCTGCATTCTTGTATCGCTAAACTGTCGATTTTATAGCCAGTCATCTCGTTTCTAAGTTGTTCAAGTTACCAGCCTCATGTTGCGATTGATGTGATTATTTTCATGCCTATTAAGCATCTCCTATCAATACGATTCAAATTTGTTTTGTTATTAGTTTCGTTCATCTCAAAACTATTGATGTTTGGCACCTCCAAATCCGGTGTGCCTGCTGCAGCGAGTGCAGGGGGATTGTTCGAATGTCGATTAGCCCTTGGAGAAGTTGTTCCGTTTTCGTTTGCATCCATGCTGTAGATGTTTCATTGATTTGACGCACGAATTCACATAAGCGGTGGATGATGGGTCCATGGTCCAACAAGATTCCGGCGTGGTACACGTTTATATAGCGATCCGCTTGCTACAAGTCCGACGACCGCTTTCAGCCGCACCTTACATGATGAACAGACGCTGAAATAGAAACACCATTAGAAATTTGGCGCCGTTCACCATACTGTTGATTCGTCCGCCGCCTTGAGTTTCTATGCTGTCCATGCTTGATGACGGAGTTTGCTTCTTCGGCCTATTTGGTCCACGGGAGGTATTTGATTTCCTTCCTAACACCCATATATGGGAGTCATTCCTCTATCCGCCAACTGGGGACGCGCCCTCTAGGGATAAAGCTCCCCCGAGGGCATATAATTTACATCAACATTACAGTTTAGATCTTATTTTTATTTTTTATTGTATTAAGTTTTTAATGCATAGCTCTCTGGATTGTATAAAAGTTGCTTCGCCTGTAGTTGTATTAAAAAACATAGAAACTTCTGCAAAAACTACTTATCGGATTATGTCACCGTTTCGGCATAGGTGTGATGGCACAGTGCTTCTTTAGAATTATTAGCACCGTGAAGTATACAAACTGCAGGTTTGCTGAAGATCTTTACGTCTTTCTGGTATTCTTTCATAGTTTTCGCGATTACTCGACAAGCCGTTTGTCTCTGTGAGGATGAGTTCTCCTATGCTTCTAGAAAGATGGCTCATCGACGTTTGTACCTTATTTATGTGCATTTCATAATTTGTTATTATCAACTCGTCTGGTATTTCGGTCTTTTTAATTATTCTATGTCCAGAAATCAAGTAAAGACGGACCTTGTGATGTTTGATGTTAATCAGTCGGGTGTAACATTCTATAACAATTCACCGGGCTAGACTTGTATATAAAAGTTTAGACAAATTGGTACAAAAAGTTCGATTTGCCTTTTTTATAGTTCCAGCACTATGAGATTATGATTTATTGTGAGCTCTGCAATAATCTTTTGTTAGCCTGAAATGCATTCCATAGAGTTTCTGAGAAACCTTGCATTAATTTTTCAAATATAGAATTCTGAAACTCTACAATAAAGACACAATGATTTCAGTGAAAAAATAGAAGTAGTTGGCATTCTTCGGGTCTGTGTACTTTTTTTCAGTAATAAATGTTTCTACGTAAATGACACCAGGAAAATTTATATAAAATTTCGATATAATAGTTATTAAAAAAAAACAACAATTTTTTAATAGAAGAATATTTTATTAACAATTTATTTTTATGTTATTTTTATTTTTCTATACAACTACAAAGTGAAAGTATTTTTTTAATTCTAAATTAAAGAATTCTCCATGTATAAAATTTAAAACAATAATCAGTAAAGTTGAAAATGAAATATTTTCTTAATTCTAAATAATTAGATAATTTATAGTGCTCCTCTAAACAATAGTCTACGGATATTCAAGGGTAAAAATTCCTAAGAAAAATTTCGAAATTCTTACTTTTTTTTTATTATTTTCAAATGAGTTTTTATTCAACAAATAATTTTCGTATAGATTATTGTCTTTCAAAAACATTCAGTATAAATGTTTTTATCTCTTTTTTTGTATTTATTCAATAATTCAGAAACCCACTTAAAGTAAATTTAAATTTTCATTTTAAATTTATTTAAATTTTGTGCTATACTTTTTAAATATATTATTTATTAAAATACCACAATATGCAATAAGTTACTTACACTAAATACTTTCATGGAAGTATTTCATTAAAAGTCTTCACAAGTTCTTTAGTGCAAAATGACTAAATTTAATAAATTTATATATAATGAAAAAGTAAAAAAAAAATTATTTCGTAAATAGATTATTTGCAATAAAAAAATAGACGCCTAAGTATAGTTTTGTTTTTTAAAAGAAAAGGGTTTTAAATTTTACTTTAATTAAAGTTTAAAATTTTTTTGTTTATAAAATACTATTTTCATTTTAAAATTATTTTTATATAATGAAATGGTGCCAAACTTACTTAGGAGTTTATTTCTTTTTACAATAGCTGTAATTTTTTTTTTCAGAGTAGGAAAAAAATAACATTAAGAGTCTGGTTAAAAAAAATGGGCAGCACTTTTTTTGGGACATAAATTTTGTAACATATTTTCAGTGAACATTAACAATAGTGTGATTTTTCAATTTGGCCGCACTAAAACTTTACTCTTAAATTTTGTTGCGAGTAAAACCTAAGTCTGAGGATTTTAAGAGTATTGTTGTTGCTTCACATGCTTTTTTTCGTAAGTTGCGAGTATTTTTTTGCTACTCTGAAAGAAAAAAAATTACGGCTAATATAAAAGTAATAAAAATTAAAAAACTGGTCTGATGTGATCTCTCGATTTGTTTTTTGGAAATGTAATAATATTATCTAAATAATAATATTTATACAGTAATATAAAAATTCATTAAAAGTATATTTTTTGGATTATTGGAAAAAAACTTGTTGCAATTTATTACTTTATATATATTTCTTTAAAAACTGGAATTTACTTGCTTTGGTTTTCTCTGAATCACAATTTTCATTGTTGTAAAAATAACTGCTTTCTGTCTAATTCAAAAATAGTATTTCTTTATAAAAAAGTTTTCCATCTTTCGTGTAAAGTACACATAATATAATATGTTGAGAGAAGAATAGTGACACGTTTCAATAATATATGGTCATATACGCCCATAGACATGTAGCCATTGAGATGGGTAGAAACATGGATAGATAGTAGTACAGAGTTATTTCACGTGGTTACCTGTCGTAAAGGCTTAACAACATAATGTTTTCAACACACTTATAAATATAATGCGTTGTTAAACACTTTATTGGAAATGTTTCGCCAGTATCAATTTAATTTGGATATAACTTCCTTCTTGGTGGCGACTGAGACTTATCTAATACTTCTGTTATTCTTTGGGTCGCAGCATTTGGGGTAACTAATACCCTCAGAAAAATGCTCTCAGAAAAATAAAGAGACATAACACTGTAACTAAACAGTTATAACAATAGAACAGATAAGCACAAAATCGTTAATAGCATTAAACAGTAGAAGACAATTAATCCACTCTATGGCCCTTCGAAGAAGATAAAAACGTACAAAAAAGATATGTTAATCTATTAATCTATTTTGTCATGGTCGTTAATAACACATATTTATTTATATGATAATATTACCATAATCTTCATTTATAGTTATATAGGAAGTATTAAAAGGAAGTGTTTTTCTCTTAATAAATGGCATTAGTAGCATTATCTATAGATGATCAATTTTATAGTTCATTAGTCTATAAAATTCATTATATTTTTTTCAGCGTTTCATAAATTTCGGAGTTAACTTCTTTGTTTAAGGGAATGATTTATTATAGCACTAAATTTTAGTCAAAAGTGATTTTATGAGACATGTTAATAAAAATCTTCAAGTGGAAATAATCTTTTTTGCTATAAAATAGATAAGAAATATATAAGATGCTATATTTATGTGATATTTGTAATATTGATGTCATAATTTGTAACTTAAAGAGTTACCAGATCTTAGTCAGTGTAATAAATTTGTAATTTGTCATCTCTATTTCTTGAAATTGGTCAAGAAATATTGTAGAAGAAAATAGTTTCTTACAGGTTTCTTTTAAATACTTGACGTCATATAACCATTTATTTGAATGAGATTAGAATCAATATTGTGTACAAAAAAGTATATATGCTTTTCAAACAAGATATTGGGGTACGGATTTGCCGAAATAATTTAACAATCTTTAAAGTGTCACGTTAAAAATGTGTCTAAACCTCAAAAACTGCACTACTTTTTGATCGAGAGAAATTTTCTTAATTTAAATGTAATTAAAATATATTTTTTTTATTGTTTATAAAATTAATAAATTTTCATTATTTTAATTATGAAATCCGAATACTTTTTGAACAGAAGGTCTCAAACCCAATATTGTATATTTATTGTTGTTGCCAAAATTACATTCTCTTCTTTTATTTTTATTAAAAAATTAATTTAAAAATTTTATACATCAGACCAGTTAAAAATATAATTAAAATTTACTAAAAATTAAAATAAGGAATATTTCAAAAAGACTTTCGTAATGTGTCGAAGAGATATTCTTGCACTTCTGGTGAATTTGTGTCCATTGTATTCAATTTGGTCGCCGAAATATTATGCGCACTACACAGCGATAGCGCTAATGAAGTTGTTGAACTTGTCGCACTTCCTATGCCAATACTATTACGTCTTGATCTTCGGCCCTCTCCGCTTTTTAAAGTATTTGTGCAACTGCCATCCAGGCAGGAAGTGGCCCGTGTTTCATTGTTTATTTGTGCAAATAGTAATGAGCTCTGACGTTGAAGTTTCTGGTTTGGCGTCGTTGTTATAGTTGAAACGCATCCCATCATTTCCTCCATATTGCGTGAAGAAGAGCGACGTGTTGCTGCTGCTGTTACCCCCAACGTAGGCAGTTTACTCTTCATTGTATTATAGGTTTTAAGATACTTTGCTTTACGTAGTCTATGCTGCTTCCAACGGCACACTCCAAAAATGGCCAAAAATGTAATTAGTGCCGTGAGCACAATCGCTGTACTGGCCACAATAGCTGAACGTATACCGGCTGGCATGTTGCTGTAGAGACTATTGCCATTTTGCTGGTTTGCCATTGAAATTGCAGCAGCTGGACTGCGTTTGAAACCATGTCCAGACAATTCCAAATCAACTAAATCGTGCGCACGTGTTACATCATTTTCAATTGCTCCCACTGTATCTTGCATAGTAGGTATCAAAGCTGCCGTTTCAAAACTTATCTCTGTGTTGTTGCCCAAATTTTCATCACCCAGTTCTTGTGAAGCACTTTCAAGCAGTAGTTTGGGTTGTGGTAGATAAAACTGGTTGTTTTTTGTGTCCGCACTTTGTGCTGAGTCAAGAGTTGTTAAAGCAAAATTTTTCCAGGAAGGAAAGAAGCTAAGTGATTTGTCTGTTCTTTGTGTAGGGATAAAGGTGTTATCTATAAAAATAGAAATAATTTATTAAATATTAGTAAACATAAATATTTGTGCATAGTGAATAAAAATTACATTTTGTGGAACTTACGTGATTTGTGGAGAGCTGTTTAAGTGCTGTTTAAGTCCAATTAAACGTGCATTTGATGCTTTCAATATTTGATAATAAAATTTATTAAACATATCCGCAGCACTAGCAGCTCACCACAAATCTAGCGCTTAAGTTGATTATTTTGTTTCGATTTGAGTTATATTTTGAGGGCTACGGTATTTGGCAGAACCTCTGTTACGTCTGCGACGTCCTAAATAATTATGCGTTAACACACCTTTTATGCTGCTCTCTACTCTGGTTTTATATACTTCATCTGTTGGCTCAATATCTGTTATGGAAGTAAAGTAACTTGCGCCTTGTGAGTCGGTTTTTATATCATCAGGTTTTACGCTCTTCAGATCTACTAAATTGAAATGCGGAAAATTTTCAAATGCCGTAACAATGTCCATATTGTCGTGAAGTACGACTTTCTGGCCGGGAAAAAGCCCTGTATTGTTTTGCAACACCATCGAGAGATGCAGTTGACTCGCTCCGCGTTTGCGATGCTCGATTAATTCCTCGAGAGTCATATTCCGTTGTTCTAGTACTTTAAAAAGTCTATTCCCAGAACGTCTGTCCTCGATTAATTCAAGTAAATCTGTGCGATCATCGATGTTGTCTATATTATTTGTATCTATGTCATTTGCGGTGCGAGCTGTTGTAGTTTTTTCTACATCACGACTTCGAAAACTTGGCGTATAATTTTGCAAAACGACTTCTTTTATTTTTGTTGTCGACTCATCGAAAAAGTCTTCCAAACCATCATCATCATCTTCAGTGCCTGCAGCAGAGTTTGCTGGTGCAGTTGTCAATTTTGCTTGACGTTGTTCAATGAAATTAACTTCAAAATTTTTGGAATGCTCTTTATTCTTCAGTTTAATGTTCGACTTGACATTATTGTAGTTATTAGTGGTGCTTGTAGTTGTCTTAGTGAATGTTGGTGAAGTGCCTCTACTTGTTGTTATTTTTTTCTTTTTTATTCCTTCGGTAGATGTGGGCAATTTTTTAGTCATATTAGTTATATGATTCTCTTCCTCGTTTTGTTCTTGGCTCTCCTCCTGTTGCATTACTTCAGTTGTTGTACCTTCGTTGTGGAGAGTATTGTTAATGTCTGTCGTGTCATTGCTGTTCTGTACAGTTTCTGTCATAGTAGCAACCTCCGGAGGTGTTGGCAAATCCACTGCAATTGTAGGCATAATTGATGATTTCAGTAAAAATGGTGGCTTTAATGTTGGTCGATACTGCAGCCTTCTCTTGTAGAGTGGAACTCGTGTTGTTGTCACTGTAGTGCTGGTCTTAGTTGTTGCCGTACTCTTATGCTGTTCACGCCTCCTTGTTGTAATAGTATTTCTACTAGCAATTGTTGCTGTTGTTGAAGCTATCCTGGAAGCAGTGTCAAAAAGTTTTAATCTTTGTTGTTGCGTAGTTAGCACCTTAAGTCTTTGTGTTGTTTCTGCACTGTCATTATGTAACCAATTTTTGTACGTACTATTGCCGTTAGTTGCTGTTGTTGACGTTAAATTTATTGCCAAAGTTGCATTGAAAGTAGGAGCAACACTTGCCAATTTACGTACAGAAGTTTTTGTTTGCTTCGTCGTGTCTGCTGCAGCAGCTGTTGCTGTAAATTCTGGTGATGCCGCCGTCGTCTGCAATGCTAATAAGGCATTTTGTTTCCCTTTGAGTAAATCATCCAAAGACAAATTCTTTTGCTGCAAAAATTCACTTAAACTTAAGCCTCCAGAATTTTTCAATATATTTTTAAGATCAATCGCACTTTTAGTTCCAGTACCTTGTTCGAAATTCGTGCTAGGAATATCTGTTGTAGCCCCTGTTTGTAGTTCTTTCTTAGCCTGTGAATATGGTCGTCTATAGGATTTATCTGATGGACTGATTGTTGAAGTATCAAGTCTGCTTTTGTCGCGTAATTCATAACGTTTTTGTTCTTTTTCTAATGCGGCTAGGGGTTCTCGAACAGCAGGTTGTTTCTTCGTTCTTGATAGTAAACTGGTATTTCTGTCAGTTCTTAGATTAACTGAGGGAGCTATTGGGACGAACTCTTCGTCCGCTACTTGGTCGTGCCAAACATTTGCAGTTTCTCCTGTGCTGTTATCGTCTACAGCAAATTGAGGTCTTCGTTTACGTTTTCTATTACAACGTTTTCTCTGATTGACAATTGAGGGGTTGGTATTGTTTTCGTATTCATTTTGATCGACCAAGTCATTCGAATGAATATTATCACCAACTACTAACGTCGCGTTGGTATGTAATAACTGAAAATAAAACAAATATAATAAACGTTATAAATCATCATAAACAAATTTAGTATATAAATACTGACGGTTTTGATAAATTTTTGAAAATTGTGGGAAAAATGCCTGTATAATATATATTATGATAATTAATACTAGCTTTTAATACTTGCTTTCTCTTAGTTGTATGAAATTACTTTTTTTAATGTTAATACAATATTAACACGTGTAATATTTGTATATAATATTATATGATGTTTTAAAATATAAAAAAAAATTTTTCGTAACTCAAAACATGTCATATCTATGGTATGTAGATGCAGATACAGATGCACGTGGCAGTTTATCCCTTAAAAGATCGGTTCACTTAGGCTTTGAAAATTTAACCACTGTGATACCATATTTTATAAATATATACTAAATGTTCTAAATAACTTGGATAAGTACCAATACACCTATATCAGATTGGGAAATTTTTCATGCCTTTTAAATAAAATAATTATTCTCTTTTATGTCTAAGCTAGTGATTTAGGATAGTTATTTGTAAAAGATAGACCCTAACGCGTACCAAACAATGACAAAACAGATGACAAAACTGTCCTTCTTTCCTTTGACCCATAGCTACGACATTGAGCTTTGGAGTGACCCTTAATTGGTGACATGCCTGTTTAAATTTGTTTTTTGCTTTGATAAAATAAAAGTCTTTAATGCTAGAACTATTGTTATGAGACAGATGAAGAAAGATCTTAAAAGTTAAGTTATTATTCATTGGAACCAGCCCCTAATTCGTGGCGTGCTTATCCATAAAACAGCATTCCGTCAGTATGGCAATTGTGTTAGATATTTCTTGCTGAGTGGTTGGTCAGTTCCTTTCTGATCAAACATTCTGTATCTATATTCAGTTTAACTAAAACTGGGAATCACACATTTGATGTGATTATAGTAAAAAAAATCGTCAGTTCATCACCCACCAATTCATTAGCTCTACAATTGTCAAAAACGTGCCAATAATCCTAAACCCATATCAGTCCACCGGCATCTAGTTTGAAAGTGTGAGATATATCTATACGAATGCTGCTATATATATTTCTGGCCTAATAATGAAAATGCGAATATTTATCATCAAAAATTGTTTTTTTATTTTCCAAAGTATTCGCCAGCCTGATTTATACACTTTTGCATGCGCTCAAACCAATTGTCGAAGCACTTCTTCCACTCCGATTGAGACACCTCCAAAACATGGTTTTTGAACGCTTCAACAGCATCATCTGTCGACGAAAATCATTGACCACACATTTTCTTTTTGATGTGCGGGAAGAAAAAGAAGTCATTGGGTGCCAAGTCAGGACTGTACGGCGGATGACCCATCAATTCGACGTTTTGGCCGATCAAAAAGGCGCTGATTTGAGCCAATGTGTGACAGCTCGCGTTGTCATGGTGAACAATGATTCGTCTTCTCTTGTTCGTTTTTTGAATTTCTCCGAAGACTTCAGGCAACAAATTGTAGTGTAGCACTCAGAAGTGAACGTCATTCGTTCCTCAAACGGAACAGTCGTAGTCGCCACATGACCAGTTTTGCCGAAGAAACAGTCGACCATTTGCTTCGAAGTGCTTCTTCCACGAACAACTTTCGTTGAATTTGGCTCGTCTTGAAGACCCACACGGACGATTGTTGTTTTGTTTCGGGCTGTGCCGATCTTATAAACGTTTTTTGAAGCACCGCGAACGTATTTTTTCAACATTTCTTTGCACCAATCGACACGAGCCTTTTTTTGAGCGATTGTCAAATTGTGCGGGATCCAACGAGAACAAACCTTTTTTACGGCAAGGTGTTCATGCAATATCGAATGTATGCTGGTGGGAGAAATGCCCAAGGATGCCTCTATCCCCCGGTATGACACATGACGATCTTGCATCAATGTTCTCTGACACAACGGCCGTTTTTGGACGACCTTCACGGAATTCGTCGTTGAGCGAGCGTCGGCCACGATTGAGTTCATTAAACCAGTTTTTCACAGTGCTATAGGATGGTGCTTCATCGCCATACAAGGATTTAAGTTCATCAATGCACTCTTGTCGTGATAATCCACGTCAAAAGTTGTGAAAATTGATCGCACGAAAATGTTCACGTGTTAATTCCAATTTTTGGCTGAGATAAATTTTTCAAGTCTCTATAAATAAAACAATTCACAATTAAATGACAACCTGTTCTGAGTGATGTTATGCTAAAAAATGTCAACCTTTCCAATGGAAATGTCAGATTGCACCTGGTAACACTGAGTGTTGCCTAGGCCAGAAATATATGTAGCAGCCCTCGTAGAAGCTAACAAATTAGTAAACACCATCAGGGGAGATAATGACCTATTGTTTGTTATTAAAAATGATCAGATTTTAACCCTAGTCAGAGAAAGTAGGGTTAAAATCAACTTGTTAAATCGATTAGTTGATATCACTCTTATCTGTGTTGCCGTTCAAGTGAACATTGAATAGAATAGGAAAGCAGCTTACACCACCGTGGAGCTTCAATCTGTAATTTCTTCTGCTTGCTACAAAGATAACTCATGCTGAGGAAAACACTTGCAGACTATGTCTAAAAGAAAAGGAGACAGCGGTGCATATATTGTGCCAATGTCCAGCGCTAGCAAGTATGTGGAAGACTGTCTTGGGACACCATTAGGTTGGTGATGACTTGGCAGGCAACCTCAAGCTAAATGAGCTGATTGCATTAACAAGAGATGTAGTTATGCGAAAGGAAGCCACTCCAGCTTTAACTCAATAACGACATTCGAGAATAAAAGGACGAGAAAGGACCCAAGTAGTTTCGTGCTCTACTTCGGCTAATCCTTCACTTCAGTGGGGCCACTTGTTGGACGGTGCGCTGTCCCAACATCCCATCATAAGGATGTGCAAATGATAATTTGGATGAAATAAGCTGAGAACTACTGTATATTGTTTATGTGCTTTAATATTTTACTTATTTTGGTAGAAAGTAACCAGACTAGGTTTTTACTTTGATTTTGAAGTTTTGACAATATTTTTAATAGAATTACTACTTGATAAGCAACCAATTTGATTTTTTATTTATTATTTCATAACTGCTGCTGAGTAGATAAGTCCTAATCACTTACATTAGAACCTTTGAGTAAAAACTTTTACTAAACTTTCTTAAAAGTTTAAAGTATTTTATAGAAATTCTTCGGCTTCGAAAGGAAAAAAGTTCAACGACTAAGTCAATTTGTGAAGTACCTAACAAAGATAAAATATTTTGCATTCATTCATGTGCATCATAAACTGAACGGATGTTGTCCAGTGCTGTGAAGGTGAAAAGTTAACGCATCGATAAATTTTTGTGTTCCTTTAATGCAATTGAGCATTTTGCATGCAACTGACACTTGTAGTCAGAAACCTGGAAAAATACATTTGTACCTTGGTTGGATGACAAACAAATGTAAATGGTCTGCTTCTGAAAAACTGCAATAAAGATCCGTTTTATATCTTAGCTTTCGAAAAATGAGGTCTGTTTAAGAGGATTGCCTTTTCTTCTTCTATTCCTTTACTATTGTTATTTGAATTTTTTCTTCTTCGCTTTTCTATTGTTATTTTAATGAAGGCATTTCCTTGTGCTAAAGTTGTCGACATTTAAGTAAAAATAATGAAAAAAAAGGATAGAAAAAAGCCATTGCAGTGCTGTATAAAATGCAAATGCATATCCTTTTCTTTGCCAAAACTCGTTATACTCATTTCTTGTGGTTTTGGCACTTTTGTTCTGTTTTATTTGAAAGTGTTTTGTTTAAGTCACTTTTAAGACTTTACAAGGAGTTCTGTCTTCCTTTGCATATTCGTATAATTACTAAGTCCTACCGCAAAAATTTCACTCTACAGAACTTTCAAAATTTATTATATTGTTAACAATTTTTTTTATCACACCTTTTGCATGTATCTCTCTCTCATCAGTATTCCTTGCAATTTCTTAAGAAAAAGTTTTTTATCTTTCTTTTTTTTTTTTTTTTGAAGTTGGTTTTATGATGGTAAAGTTCGTTCTTAACGTAAAGAATGAGAATTTAATTTATATATCCTTCATTTAAAACTTAGTCTGGTAATAATTTTTTTTTAATTAATTGCAGTTTTTAACAGGAATTTTTATTTTTAAACTATTTTTGTAGATAATCTTATGTCTTCCTTAATAAAGGCTCAAAAATGGTTTTAATTTTAAGCATTTAAGTATTCACATACGTATGTTTTAATTCAGGACAAAATTGTTCTTAATCTTAATACGTTGTTGTACTGGAAATATAACCAGATGCTTATACGAGTAGTAACTAAAAGTAATATCGGTAGTTGTTGTTATCCACTTCTTTTGTTCTTTGAATATAAATCCGCATTGTTGTCACTGTGCTGTGTTTTTAAAGTTGGGAGTTGGAAGTTGAAAAGTACGCCTAAATTCTTTCAGGAGTTCCATTCATTAAATTTCAAAAATATATTTCTCTCTGCAATGATTGAGTTTCTCTTTGTACCAGGCAAACATATATCCATTGGTGTCACTAAGCTATGTTACTAAAGTTGTGAGTTAAAAAGTACGCCTAAATTCTGTCAAGAGTTCCATTAATTAAATTTCAAAAAAATATTTCTCTCTGCAATGATTGAGTTTCTCTTTGTACCAGACAAAAATATATCCAGCTTTATCTTTAATTACACATTTTTTCGTCAAACCGCTTTTTTATTGAACTGAAATTGTAGTTGCTATTTTCCATTGTACCAGAAATTGGTTAAAAATTTTTTTAAAATGTTTCTATAGAAAAAAGTTTGTAAATCAAGCAAAAGGTAACACAATAGATTAATATCCAAAACCACAAAATTCCGGATTTAATCCGAAAAGAGGCGGAATAAATTATTATTAATGTAAAGTTGGTGGAAATGAATTGTAAAGTGTACTTAATCAACTATATGTATTAAACAAATATTTAAACCATACACATACCATATGACAAAAAAATGCCAACTATCTCTAGTAATTTCACATTTTCAAAACAATTTTGTGGATTTTTGTTTCGTTTTCAGTGTAATCACCTTATTTGGCGATTAGAGTGTAGGTCAGTAAGGTCTTGTTTACAGCTTGAAAATCAACGTTCAATGTTTTCTTTTGATGGATTAGAGTTCGGATATCACTTATCAAACTAAGGTTTGGCTTGAATGGTATTTCTTCCATTAAAAAGCAATAATAAATAATCACACGAAATTGGTATTTTCTAAAACATAGGTCTTTTAATAGAGGCCCCATACATATGTCAACCTTGAGACTTTTTAAGTCGATGTAGCATTTTGGAACTTTTATTCTTTTTACAGATCATCAAACAAACTCTTATTTAATGCAAACTTTTTCTTAATAAAGTAATTTAGAGAAAATATTTATTTAAAAAATAATATTTAAGTTGGGTTCGTTTGAAAATTTCTTAATTATTATTAATTAATCATTTTTATAAAATAATAATAATAATAATATAATATTTTTATAAAATAATGATAAGGATGTCACGTAACATCCTATCTATACACGTTATTGTGCATGAATCTATATCTTTACGGGCCAATGCTCCGGATATGTATTCATGTGATGTGGTATCAAAAGCTCCTTCTACATCAAAAAATGCATATAAGGCAGTCTTTTTAGATTGAAAGGTGCTTATAATTTTGCTGTTCAATCGCAACCTCTGTAGATTTGGCTTTTGAGTAGGCATATTGGGTGGAGTGGAGAGGGACAGTTTGTTCGAATTTATTCCGTATGTGTAGATCAATCAGCCTTTCAACCTTTCAACACCAATGGATCTGTAGGGCTTTGGCTGGTCCATGGGTTTATTACCAAGTTTGGGAATAAAGTTCACGTTCACTCCTCTCCAGAAGTCAGGGATATAACCGGTAGTAAAACAAACCCTAAAGAGTTTAATTAATGGGCTAAGAATGATATCTGTGCAATTCTACAATAAAGCAGGAAAGATGCCATCGCCTCCAGGCGCCTTAAATGATTG